ACAAGCGTCGCGGTCGACCAGAGTGTTGGGGCGTTGTCATCCAGTCGTGCCAAAGGCAGGAGCGGATTGGGCTAATTCTAGTCATTGGGCCAGTCCAGAACAATTATTAAAGTTTAAATTGCTTTGTTGATTAGCTTATGATCACTTTGATTGTAAGTGCTTTTGCATTTCAACAAATCTCAAAGAAAATTGTGAAAAATTGATTGCGCGCCACATGTTCGATCAATTGTCATGTTATGTTTTAATATGATTTTATTGGAAATAAGAAATCATTGTGTTGGATATTAAACGGTTAATTTAGATGTTATTATGTTGATTGATTTTATCATTATGCTAATTCCATATGGTTCATGCATATCCGAGTTTCTAATAACTAGGTTCATTTAGACTATTATATTGATCTAGGCCAAAAACTTTCCGCTCAACATTGTTTTTCAAATAAGTTTTAAATAACCATTTTGAAAGGTAGTTTTTATTTGGGGATCTATTTACCCCCCTCTAGATTGGATGTTGTAGTCTTACAAATCCAATCGAAAATGCCAACTTCGTTGATGTAACTCCAAAAATATCAAGTAGTGAGAGTCATTATATGTTTGTTTTGTATGTACAATCAATAATCAACACAACATGAAATTTAATCAACAACTTTCCAGAATCTTATAAAGGAAAAGTTACATTTTTTAGGAAGACATTACCTGTTTGTTTTGTAGGTACAATAAAAAATGAACACCAGATGTAACACGTTTAACAACTTCCCTGAAACAAGATGTGTCCAAAAAGATATCAGAAATAACATTTGATTCGTCCTTGGTTATGGTTTAGTACATGTATTTTTCATCATCAATTAAACTTAATAAATGTTTCATTTCAGTTAGTGGATCTCGTTTTCTCATCTTGTATGTAAATCTTGCCTTGTACATATACATAACACTTATTAGGTTTTATGGATCTTTATCTTTTAAAGCATCAACTATGTACTTGAGAGTTATATTGTATTTTGTCATGTCATTTCTAAACTGTCTTTCATTATTTTTAAACGATCTAATATGTCATGACCATCTAAATTAGTAGCTACTTCATGATTGTTAATTCCATACATAAGTGTCACCTTCCAACCGCTACCACTTGACACATATTAACATAAGTGAATATTTAACTTTCATACTAAAAGTGCCTTGAGAAAAATACTTCTTCTTGTAATTACCTCCTCTCTCACTATCTATAATGAATTTATTTTTCCTCCCTCTGATCCCATTTGTTGTATCAAAACGAACAACAACAACAATGACACCATACTTTTAACAATGGACTATATCCATGCTAACACGTCATCCCGAGAGAGAAATATCTGTCATTTACAACATATAATGAATGAGTTATTTATGCTAGAGATACCCGAAGCCTATTAAATTTGCACAAGTTAAAAAGAAAATATGCAAGTAAAATATACAACATCAGTGGTGAAGAACTGCGTAAAATATGTAGAAGAGTCATCTATCTCAATAACGCACATAGAAAACATCCTGAATTGAACTATTGGATTTTTCACAATGGGCTAAAAATTAGAAAATTTCGATATCCGAAAATTTCACTGCTTACCGTATTTTTTCAAAAATATGATAAAAAGAATCGGACTTTTCAACAAATATGATATAAATGCACCGAATTCGTAAATAATCCAATAAAAAGGCCAAGTTTTAATCAATTTCGAAAAACATTATCTCATATTTTTTGATCCCACTGTAAAATTTTAAAAATGCAAAGTGAATCATTTTGACCAACTGTAATTTTGAAATAAATAAACGATGAGAACAACATTTTGGTCAATACAAAATCTTAGAGATAAGGTGCCAAAGGTAAGAGTAAGTGTGTAGGAAAGAAACTTTTAAAATGTCCATTAAGGAATGAAGGAGGCCGAAACAGAACCCGTCAAAGCCCAACAAATAACAACATTATCGAATTGTAGTTTTGCAAGTTTGCACTGTCTCCGCCGCACAATGCTAGGGTTTGACGTTTGCAACTTCGCACGCATGGCCACTCTATAAAAGGCTAAGCCGCACCCTCTTTAAAATCATCAGTTTTCGTCGACAATTATTACAGCATCGTCTTCTTTTATTTTATTTTTTATGTTCTTCGTTATGATTTAATTTCTTCTTTCAGATCTACTTTTCTTTCCGTTTTTTCTTTATTTTATTGTTACATATTAGAAATTTGTGTTGAAATTGTAAAGAAAAGCCAATTTGCAGAGCAAGAGCATCGATAATTGATGTAAATTGCATTGAAGGTTGGCAAAATCGATCTCACAAGGCGATTCTCCGTGCCTATCAAATCATTCTGTTTTGAATACGGCCTCGAACAAGTCGCTACATTTTATAATAACTAATCCTATAATCTTCAATCTGAGAAATACTGTTTTCTTTATATGTTTCTTTGCCGGAATATTAAAGCCAATTTGCAGAGCAAGAGCATCGATAATTGGTGTATATTGCATTGAAGGTTGGCAAAATCAATCACTGAAGGCGATTCTCCGTGCCTATCAAATCTTTCTGTTTTGAATATGGCCTCGAACAAGTCGCTACATTTTTTTCATTTTGAAACGTCTTTTTCTTAGCATACATTTCTCAAAAGTTTTGGATGACCTAATTTAAAATGTGTAATCAATTTAAATTTATGATGTATTGTATAATTGACATAATTTACAGGAGTGAACTTGTCATTCTTCACATATAGATGAAGATCCAATTTATACCCACTCATTTATTTGGATACGACCCACCATAACAGTGGTAAGAACTACAATATCCACTCTATGGTGAACAATTTAATTATTAGCTGCAATACAAACACATGCAAAGGAATCATCGAATCATAAGTAAAAGGTATGATATCACACCTTGTAGAAAACAATTTGCATGATGAAAACACGTTAAATCAAAACAAGACTGACCAATCAAAACAATTTGTATGATATCAAACCTTGTAGAAAACAATTTGCATGATGAAAACACGTTAAATCAAAACAAGACATACCAACCAAGACAATGGATAACCTAGCAAAACAAATGACCAAAATTACAAAAATAAGGTACAATTACACTCAAATCAAAACAAGACATACCAACCAAGACAATGGATAACCTAGCAAAACAAATGACCAAAATTACAAAAATAAGGTACAATTACACTCAAATTAAAACAAGACAGACCAACCAAGACAATGGATAACCTAGCAAAACAAATGACCAAAATTACAAAAATAAGGTACAATTACACTCAAATTAAAACAAGACAGACCAACCAAGACAATGGATAACCTAGCACCAACCAAGACAATGGATAACCTAGCAAAACAAATGACCAAAATTACAAAAATAAGGTACAATTACACTCAAATTAGGGATTAGGCAACTTTAGTACATGCTAATGTTTTTGGATATGCAATTCTATCCATGTCCACTTTCGACTTGGTGGTAATAGTTATACTCAAAGTATCGTCCTTCGTCACATTGTTGATAGAGGAAAGAGTCTAAAAGTGATAGAGAAGAATCAATCAAACATATGAATGCTTTGATTGGAGTTTATGATTGGAGTTTATGATTTAGACAATATGACAAAAACTATAAGAATGTTAAATAATGGTTCTGATGCTTTGGATAAGATTCACCATCAACAACAACAAGGAAGAAGTAGATGACATACTAAGGGAGAATGTTAGATTGAAAAAACAGTGGGATACTCTCGCAAAATCAAATAAGGATACGAAAAATCAATATGAAAGTCATGTAGGAGATTTGAAGGAATAAGCAAGAGGAGTAGTACTCGAGAGGGAACGTACCCAAAGAATGAAGACAAGTCACTAGCTTAGAGGATGTTAACAACAACTGAAGGAAGTTTTGGCAACAATAAAGGAGTTCAAGACAAGGTTGCGAAGATCAACCAGAAGACCTAGACAGAATACAACTTCATGAGGAAATCGATCATTTGAAGAGTGCTCTCGGCCAAAGGGAGATTATACCATATGACAATTAATAGACCATAACTATGGTGTATGGATGCCCAGGTCAATACCCAGTGTTTGACATAAACTTGTTGAGAGAAGATTTAATGCAAATGCACGCCACTATGTGCAGAGGGGGAAATTTTGCAAGGCATTACTATGGATCTTGTCAGATTTGTTGTAGGAACCCCTGAGGTTGCTTTGCTGTAAGAAGAGACCTTCAAGTTTTGATAGATAATGACATTATCCACATCCTCGGAGATAGAAATGAAAATGACGTGAGTATGATGGAGAGTTATCCGAATGAGCTTGTCTCAGATATTAACACGGTGGTTCCTCCAGAAATTCATGCCAAATTCATGAAGTTAGGATTAGTTGATGACAGTCATGATGTTGATCCTGGCCAAGCTTATAATGTGAATTTAATGGGAGGAGGCCGAGTACAAACACATGCTAATATTGAAAATAACTGATAGGATTTTTGCTAATGAGGCTTGTGCAGCGAGGTTTCATCCAATCAAGGTGTCACAATCTTTCTAGGTTTGGGTCAGACAACGCAGTTGTTAGAGTGGTGTTAGAATGCAATACGAATGGGGAGAAAACCAAGAAAAGATACATTTTTTCTTTTGAGGATGCTTGGGCAAGAGATGACAAGTGTGAGGGTATAGTGAAACAGAACCGAGGGGACATATTTTAAGGAGTATATGTGTGGGAATATCTGCAAAGACCTTAATTGTATTGAAGAGTTGTTAAAGGAAGAGCTGAGCAAAGGAGACATACCAACCAAATTAGTAAGCTTAAGGATGATGATGGGTGTTGATGGAGAGGAAGAGTCCATTGCGAAATAATCCTAACAAAGTACTTTGTGGATTTATTCTCCTCTTCAGCACCGGTGGATATAAAGGAATCTTGCAAGGTTCTTAAAGATAAGCTTAGTCTGACTAACAAGGATTGGTGTGATGGAGTTTTTTCTGAAGTAGAGGTTGAAGAAACTTTGTTCCAGATGCACCCTTTAAAAGCCCCAGATCCGGATGGTCTTCCCAGCCTGTTCTTTCAAAAATATTGGCATGTGGTAGGAAATGAGGTTAAGAAGATGATGCTGGAGATTCTCAATGGTGACCAGGTTCTGACAGATGAATAAAACATTTATTGTCCTCATTCCAAAGTGTAAGAATTATAAGTTTCCGAAAGAGTTTAGGCATATTAGTTTGTGCAATGTAGTGATGAAAATTGTGTCGAAGGTGATTGCTAATAGAGTGAAGCATGTGTTGCCAAGTATTATTGATGTGGTGCAAAGTGCTTTTGTTAAGGGGCGGTTGATAACAGATAATGCTCTAGTAGCAATGGAATGTTTCCATTGGATGAAGAAGAAGGCCAAAGGAAAAAAAGTGTTATGGCTCTAAAGTTGGATATGGAAAAATCATATGATAGAATGGAGGGGAGTTTTGGATTCTATGGGATTTCCTGAGAAGTTCGTGAAGCTAATCGTTAAGCGCATCTCTTTGGTGTCATTCCAGGTTCTCATCAATGGGTGCACTAGTAAAAGTTTCAAACCAGAGAGAGGACTCCGTCAAAGAGACCCTTTATCCCATTACTTATTTGTTCTGTGTGCAGATGTTATATCAGGTTTATTGAGGGAAGCAACAACTCTTGGTAACATTCATGGAATTCACATTGCTAGGAAAGCTCCGTGCATTTCTCATTTGTTTTTTTGCTGATGAGACTGTATTTTGTTCTCAAGAGCAGCTTCAACAGAAGCTAAGAGAATCTTGGAGATCCTTGCCATTTACCAAAAATCCTTTGGCCAAATGGTTAACCTTGACAAGTCAGAAGCCTCTTTCAGCCTCATGGAATTCGCATTGCTAGGAAAGCTCCCTGCATTTCTCATTTGTTTTTTTTTTGCGGATGACTGCATTTTTTTCTCAAGAGCAAGTTCAACGGAAGCGGCAAATTCTTGGCAAATTCTAGAAAAAACTGTGAAAGATTCCAATTCATGTGCGTGTCAAGAACTTCATGTGGAGACTTTACATGAACATCCTTCCTACCGAAGGCAATTTGATCAAAAAAGGTTGTAGTATGGAATCTTTGTGCCCTTTTTGAAATTCTATCTCTGAATCCACACAACACATTTTTCTGCATTACAATTTTGCAAAAAAGGTGTGGTTCGCGCTCCCAACCGGGACGAGGGAGCCAGATAATCTGGCTTTGATTGACTAGTTGGAGTTTTGTTTTAATAACAATGAAATTTCGGTTAGCCAAATTGTTTACACAACTCTTTTGGAGAATCTAGAATACTCGAAACAAGAGAGTGTTTGATAAAAAGTAAGTGGTGCGCAGTGGAGAATGTTACCGAATTCTCTATCGAAATGGAGGAATCACGTGTCAAGAGGAAAAAGTTGTTCGTGAATGAAGGTCTGCATCCAAAGGATACCTTTTTGGTTTTTGTTGATGTAAGTTGCTTTGATGGAGGCTTTTTGGTTCTGGGGTGCGTCATAAAGGATATGTATAATAGAGTGGTGATCTCGACAAGCAAGGAAATCGATAGCAGTGCTAGTCCATTGGTGGATGGAGCTTTGGCTTTGAGGTGGAGCATCCAATCGGCCATAAATTTAAGCTTGCCTAAGGTGGCTGTCCATTTTGACGCTCTAGCTATTGTGGATTGTGTGAATGGAGTTAGAAAGATTACTGATGTCGTGCCGTTTGTTATGGATTGTCAAAATTAACTTGTAGCCTTTTATGTTTTTTCAGTTGTGTTTGTTGGCAGGGATAGGAATGTAGAAGCCCACTTTCTAGTTGGGATGGGTAAAGTTGTTGGTTCAACAACTTGGGTGGATTTTGTAACATCCCATTTAAATATTTAGTCATTGTTTATTGATTTTGAATTATTATGGTATGATTAAGGGTATGTGAGCATGACTAAGGGTATGCGAGAACTTAGTTCTAATTAGATAATTAGAATAAAGCTTAGTCTATGGTATGATAATAATATTGGTGAATCATAAAATATACTATTATTTATTAATAAAAATACTATTGTTAGATATATGGTATAGTTACCATTATTATTATTATTATTATTATTATTATTATTATTATTATTATTATTATTATTATTATTATTATTATTATTATTATTAATATTATAGTTGTAATAATAATAATAATAATAATAATAATAATAATAATAATAATTATTATTATTATTCTCATTATAATTGGTTATTATTAGATAATATGAAAATATTATTTGGGAGAGTGGTGGAGGTAATAAGGAGAAACTGCTGTCAAAACACAAAATAATTATGAAAAAATAATAACCAGAAAGAGAAAAATCAAAAGTATTTTTAAGAATTTTTTCAGATTTTTTGAAGTTAAAATGAAAATTTTATGTATTTTTAAAATTTAAAACAAATAAAATATAAAATCAGAAAATAAAATAAAAACCAAAAAGATGTAGACAATTGGATGAGAGTCAAAAACGTGTTAGTAAGTTAATCCAATGGATCCAACGCGCTGTGCATATCATGGTCCTTAATGAATAAAACACTGAATCATTTATTAAAACCATAATTTTAAAAAAACAAGTGGCATGATATCATTGGTTGAGAGATGACACATTTGTTATCTTCAACATCCAGCCACGCAAATTGCAGGTCTCTGAAATGGAAAAATTAGAGCTCGAGACTGGTACCATTCACTTCGTCTCTTCAAGACGATTCCAATGGTACCCTCGCGAAAAATTTATATAAGGTGTAGCTCAGTCTTTTTGGAAGGAAAGATTTGAAAAAGGATTTGAAAATTCATGGCAAAAACTCACTTCCAGTTGAAAATAAATGTTGCGACTAGAATCAGGATGATGAGAGCTTCATTACAGTACCAAAGTTTGAGAGAATTGGTGAAGGAATCTACCTATTGAAGTTCAAATTCAGAGCTCTGAAACTTGACTTGGCTATCACGATTTAGGAAGTCTTAGAGCTTGGTTCTTCTTCTGTTAGCTTCAGTGAAGTTCAAGGATAAAGAATTGACAAAGAAAATGGATTGAGGAAAGCTGTAAAACCAAATTCGAAGTTGCAGAAAAGTGGGTTCAAGAGAGAGTTTGACAGGGTAATTCTGGCTATCTAAGCTTGTGAAAATGAGTGGGATAAAACCTGTATTTATATGAGAAGTGAATAGAATCAAGAGGAGGGGTGAATGGTGTAATTTGGAGGGAAATCGTGCACACCTATTTTCATGAAATAAGTGTGATCACATGTGCATCAAAACTCATCCAAATGATGCGTTTTGACACTCTAAATCATCCACACGCTTATGCTAATCATTTTTAAGTAGAAAACATGCACAAATTTGCTGATTAGAAGTCAAATTGTGAAAATTGCATTATGACTGTTTAAGAAACTTCAGTTCCAAGGTACCAACTTTAAAATCATGGTGTGCCCAATTTAGGGAACCTTAGGGCTTGATTCTTGATGTATTGGAAAGATGAGATCACAAACAATGTGCAAGAAATGGAATCAAATGGATGTTTGAGCTGAGAGTTGTGATGAGTCAAAGTTGAGAAAAAGATGCTGACTTTTTGTACTTAGAAAAATTCTAAGTTTTTCTTCAAAAATGACCTATAATGTCTTGCATCTAAGTGTGGTCTTCCATTTAAAATTTTTTCTTGACCAAAAAAATATGGCATGAAGTGGATCCCTTGAATGATATTTTGAGACTTGAACCATTTAAAATCTCCAAAAAAATGAGAAAGTTATGACTTGGTGAAGTTGGTGAAAATTCATGAGATGGCATATAATCCTTTGCATTCTCAGGGCATCTTCTATCCATTTTCAAGATTTGCACATAAAAAAAGAGTTGAATTTCACATCCTTAATATAATTGTGGAAAAAGAATGGGTTTAAGGAGATAAAAATTGACCAAGTTATGATCTTTTGAAGTCACATAAGGGAATTTGATGTCCTATCTAGAGGACTTGTAATATTTCTTCATTATTAGGCATCTCTTACATAAAATTTTCTTGAAACTTTTGAAGTTATTGGTTGATAACTCTTTAAAGAGAAGCATATTTTTGGAATGGCTCAAAAATACCAAAAGATGAGCAAGATATAACCTTTAGAAGTTTAAAACTCTAGCTCCTAGAGCAACAAAATGTCTTAGAAACCCTTTTCAAATTTGACAAACTTTCTTGCACAAATATATTTGTCTTATAAATAGAAGTTGTTTAGGATGATAATAAGAAACCATAACAACCATAACCACTTCCAAAAATAAATAATTGATGGAATTATGCACTAGTGATCAAGAAATCAAGAACTTGTCTAATTAGGTCAAACTCTTCAATCAACTTTTGTATCTTTTGACTTTCTTTGACAAATTGAGGCATGATGAATAAAAGTAGACCTTGTCATGATATTACTTCAAAGCATCTTCAATGATGAAGCTTGAATCTCAATGAAGATTTATTGAAGAAGGCATAGAAATAAACTCATGAACCTATAGATCAATCTGATGAAACGTGTTGTGCTTCCACCTATAGCATCATCAACTAGAGCAAACATTCATAATATTCATTAGTTAAAAGTTAATAAAAAACAAAACATGGATGATCACAATATACAAGTCAAGGTGCTTGGTGATTTCTCATGATCAAACTTAAAGATAGGGAGAAGAACCAAACCCTAGTGTGATCTTGTTGTAATTGTGTTGATATGAGATGATAGAGGAATCTTAGGGGCAAAAATTGGGATACAACAACTGCCCTTATTTAAGTGTCTTCTATCCGGAGATACGAAGGTTAAAATCTTCGTGTCGACGCGACTGAATATACTTAAATATAATACAAGCCCTATTTTTGGTCCTAAGATGCCATGCAATGTTTATGATTATGCATGCAAATAAATAGATCCAAGAGCGATACAAAAAATAAAAGATCAAAAGAAGATTAGACTAGGAAAATAAATCACTGGTAAACAGAAGACTCAACTCTATTGGGGTAAAGCCCATGGAGAAGACAAGGTATCATCCACTCAGACATTGAGGAGAGAAAATGAAGGATAACAGTGATCAATAGATAACCACAAACTATCCACTCTCAGATAAAATAGCAAAAAAGGTAATGTCGACCCACTGGTGGAATAAGAGGTGGTAGGACAATACCAACAAACATTAATATTAAGGGTGGTAACAAATAATTGGCATCAGTACCTATGACTGGAAACAACCAAATTTCTTCAAAGTAATGTGAATCTCAACGACGAACTATCTCTCACAATGAAGAGACTACAATTCATCAGAAAAAGATCTCAACAACGAACTATCTCCCATAATGACAAGACTACCATTCATTGGAGTAACAAATCTCAACAACGAACTATCTCCCATAATGACGAGATTACCAATCATTGGAGTAAAATCTCAACAACGAACTATCTCCCATAATGACGAGACTACCATTCATTGGAGTAAAAAATCTCAACAACAAACTATCTCCCATAATGACGAGACTACCATTCATTGGAGTAACAAATCTCAACAATGAACTATCTCCCATAATGACGAGACTACCATTCATTGGAATAAAATCTCAGCAATGAACTATCTCCCATAATGAAGAGACTACTATTCATTGGAGTAACAACTATCAACAACGAACTATCTCCCATAATGACGAGACTACATTCATTGGAGTAACAAATCTCAACAACGAACTATCTCCCATAATGAAAAGACTACCTTTCATTGGAGTAAAATCTCAACAATGAACTATCTCCCATAATAACGAGACTACCATTCATTGGAGTAATAAATCTCAACAACAAACTATCTCCCATAATGACGAGACTACCATTCGTTGGAGTAAAAAAAATCTCAGTAACGAACTATCTCTCATAATGACGAGACTACAATTAATTTGAGTAAAAAATCTCAACAAAGAACTATCTCCCATAATGACGAGACTACCATTTATTGGAGTAACAAATATCAACAACGAACTATCTCCCATAAGGACGGGACTACCATTCATTGGTGTAACAAATGTCAATAATGAACTATCTCCCATAATGACGAGACTACCATTCGTTGGAGTAACAAAATCTCAACAACGAACTATCTCCCATAATTACAAGACTACCATTCACTGGGGTAAGGAAAATAATATTCTCGGGGACCTAACAGACTTATTGGGGAATTACAAATTGCTCAAATAAAGAGACATGCCTCTTGCTGTTATGAGAAGGAGTTGCAATAATGACCTCCTGGAGAAAGAAATATAGTTTCTTTGGGGAAGAAATATATTCCTGCTGAGGAGCTAAAGTCTTCACGTGCAAAATTAATGCACATTCTCAAAATAGGGCTCAGAACTTGCAGAAATCAAAATAATAATGTTGTTGGGAATCATAGATTCAAACCAGAACTAAACCGGAGTGAAACAGTCAAGCGAGATAGCTCCTGATGAGAAACAAACTCAAAAGGGGATCACATTCCATCTAGATAAAGAATTGAATAAGAAGGCTAAAGCAAAGTTCTTCCACGAGGGGTAACTCAATGGGGAAATTAAAAGAATATACACTTTCTGCTTAAAGTTGATACTCTATTGGAGAGAGAGTAACATAACTCGGAGGATATGGTAAAATGCCAATTAGAATATCAATGAACGCAAATGAGTAATGTATTCCAATTCAACTATGAATGATGTATGTATGAATGCTATCATGTATATGCTGAC